GTCCGTAGACGGACCCGCCGCATACCCCTCCACACCACGTACACACCGTACCCCCACGTCCCTGTGCGGTTCTCACCGCCCAGAACATCTAACAACACGAGTTAACCGTCAGAGCCGGGGCACGCCACCCCCTGTTCGGACGGCCGTTAGATAACTCTTCCACTTGCACTGTAAACTGTCATAGGAGTCATAGTAACGCGAATAACGATGCGGAATGTACGAATTTAATTTTTTAAAGGGCCTGAGTCCTACAAAGCTGTAAGAGCCGCATGGGCTAGCATTACCAACTTCATCGAAACCAAATATAATATAGTAGTATTCCCTGACGAACAGTTCCCCCACCTTTTTCCCTTTTATTTAAAGGCCCCTATTATTTAAGAAATTTACCACAGTAATCCCAAAGTTAATAATAATGAAATAGCATTTTCAATAATTTGTATTTTCCCAAACTCCTTGCATTCAAAATTATTTAACTTAACGCGGACATCAAAACCAGATTATTAAAAAAAAAATTACTTTCATTCGTCACGTTATCCGACCGACCGTTTGTAGGTGCGGGAGCGGTGCGGATTCGTTTCGCTCGGTATACGTGGTACCGAAAGCTTGTCGTGCGCATATATTTTTATGTGCGTCTTCTAATTGGCGCGATAAGTGCATGATCGGGGAGGGATCGTTTCGTTTTATCGCGTCTCGGGATGCGTGTACAGCGGTCGCTCGACATTAACCGCGCACGGTCGTGCAAACAAGATGGCGGAGCGATATATTCACGTCGTTTTAGTACTAGAAATTAAACATTCTCTAAGCCTTGTATTTATTTTGCTTTGTTAATACTGTAGTCAACAAATTCGAAAGCTCTTCGTAAGTTTTTTTGATATGCTATACATATGAAAACAAAGCGGGGGATAAGTCGCTCGCGTCCGTAGGCTTTGACCACCTGTTCCTAGGCCCACCCTACACGTGTCCCCCGGGTGGTGCTAAATGAGCGACAAGCCGATAGCACAGACTCGGCTCCACGCCGTGGTAGCGGCGTAAAATATACTACCCCATATTTCGCACCATGACTAACCGAATAAAGGAAATGGCTCCGAGTTCCCGGCGCCCCTTTAATGGGGCAGGGGTGCGAAGAATCTCCGGGAGGAAAACCGGCGACGAGGTTCGCCACCCGTCACGTTCTGTCTCCCGGAGAGGCGAAAAGTGGATTGCAGAGGCCCGTCTGGCTACGTTGAATGTATGTGGGGCAATGAATGATAAAATGGATGAAGTATGCGATATGATGTATGATAGAGGAATAGATGTGTTATGCGTAAATGAGACGAAAAGGAAGGGGAAGGATGTCACTACACATGGCATGTATACCTCATACTGGTCTGGTGTAGACGAGATCGAGCGGGCATGCCAGGGAGTAGGTATCATCCTTTCAGAAAGAATGGGCCAATGTGTGAAAGAGTATAAATGTGTAAGCCCAAGACTGCTATGGATACGAATGAAAGTGGGCTTAAAGAAGTTGTTCGTGTTAGGGGTCTACGCCCCAGACATGTCTAAGCCCACTTATATCCGAGAGCAGTTTTGGGAAATGGTAAGGATGGTGTTAATGAAGTGTAAGGGAAATGAAAATATTATTATGCTAGGAGATTTTAATGGAAGGGTTAGGGTGAGGAGGCTTGGTTATGAAAGGATATTGGGAACGTTTGGTGATGAAAGTATAAATGAGAATGGTGAAAGTCTCCTCACCGTATGTATGGAAAAGAATCTTTTTGTGACGAACACTTGCATTCGCCACAAGAGGATTCATATGTATACTTGGGAAAGAGGTGACGATAGAAGCATGATAGATTTCATAATTGTGGATGAAAGATTGAGGGGCGCAGTGGTGGATACAAGGGTTTACCGGGGTTCTAACGTAGGAACGGATCATTATTTGGTTTTATGCCGAATTAATGGTCTATTCAGGCGTTGGCGTCATCGGTCATCTGTGTCTACCACTGCTTTACAGCGTATTAGAACAGAAAGGTTGCAAGATGAAGGTGAGAGAAACAAGTTCAAATGTAGACTGAAAGAAAATATAAGTGGTTTGGATGAATTATGTATGAAGGAGTTAGACTTGGAGAATGTATGGCAAAATGTAAAGAAAGGTTTAGTGCGTGCAGCTACCAAAATATGTGGTGTTAGTAAGAGAAAGAATGAAAGGAAAAATAATACGTTATGGTGGGATGATGAGATACGTATAGAAGTTGAAGCAAAGAAGAGAGCATGGCTAGATTTACTAGCAAAAAAGGCTGGTAAATCTAGCGGTACGAATGATTATATTGAAAGAAAAAAGGCGGTCTTTAGACATCTTAATAAGAGAGTAAAAGAAGTAGTTGAAAGAAAAAAGCAAGAAAGAACGGAAAAGAATGATTGAAGAATGGCTATATTCTGAATGATGAAGTTTTGAGTTTAAAGAAATGGAAGGAATATTTTGAAAACGTGTTTATGAGTGAGGAGACAACATGTGTAATAAGTGAAGTAAAAACTCCGAAAGAAGAGGAAAGAGGTAGCGAGATAAGTATAGATGAAATAATGAAAGCAATGAAAAGCATAAAAGCGGGTAAGGCGCCCGGATATGATAGAGTTTCACTCGAAATGCTAAGGGCTGGAGAGGAGGTGGTGGCAGGCCTGCTGCACACCTTGTTTAATTTATGCTGGGAACTGAAGCGGGTACCGGTAGACTGGTGCAAAGCCGTGATAGTACCAGTATATAAAGGAAAAGGGTCGCAGCAGGACTGTAAAAACTACCGTGGCATCAGCCTTCTTAGCATTGTGGGAAAACTGTACGCTAAGGTACCGATTGAAAGGGTCATGAAAGAAACTGATGGAAAAATTTGGGATGTGCAAGCGGGATTTAGAAAGGGAATGGGATGTACAGATCAAGTCTTTTCCATGCGCATGATCGCGGAGAAGTTTCTGGCCAAAAACCAAAAGGTTTTTTGTGCGTTCATGGACTTGGAAAAGGCCTATGACAGAGTGGATAGGGATTTGCTATGGCAAACACTGAACTCATTTGGGTTGAGCGCTGGCTTGATACAGGCATTGGAGTCTCTTTATAGGGACTCTAGTGCTTGTGTTAGGATCAACGGGGTCTACTCGGACTGGTTTGACATGCATAAAGGTGTCAGACAGGGCTGTGTGGCTTCCCCGTGGCTGCTCAACCTATTTATGGACAATTGTTTGCAAAATTTGAAAGTTGAAGAATGCCGATTAAGAATGGGTGAGTTAACCGTCAAATGCCTTTTGTACGCCGGTAATCAAGTCATTCTTGCGTAGTCGGCGGCCGAGTTGCAAATGATGGTTACATTAATGAACGGATCATTAAAAGAAAGGGGTATGAAAGTGAACGCAAGTAAGACGAAGGTTATGGTTTTTGAAAGAGAAGAAAGTAAAACGATTTGTGAAATAAGAATAGAAGGGGAGTTGATAGAGCAAGTAGATGAGTTTGTATATTTGGGCTGCGTATTTAGCAGGGATGGGAGATATGATAAGGATATAGAACGACGAGTGAATGCGGGAAATAGAGTAAATGGGGCCTTGCACTCTATTGTGAAGAGTCAAAATGTGTCGAAAAAGGCACGTATGGCAATTCACAATGCTGTGTTGGTCCCTACTTTAACGTATGGTAGTGAAAGTTGGGTGTGGCAGAAGAAGCACGAGAGTAGAATAAACGCAGCAGAAATGCGGTCGTTAAGGAGTATGTTAGGGCTGATTCTGAATGACAGGGTAAGAAATTGTGTAATAAGAGAAGAGTGTGGTTTGCAAGATGATGTTGTGACCAGGATTAAGAAAGGAATGCTTCGGTGGTTTGGTCATGTGGAAAGAATGAATGAGGAAAGAGTGACAAAGAAAATTTATGTTGCAGAAGTGAATGGTAGAGTCGGAAAGGGACGTCCGAGGCGAAAATTTATCGACCAAATTGGCGATTTATTGGAAACGGGCCAAATTAGGAGTACCCTTAACCGACAAGCATGTATGCGTAGGTGTATGGATGTGAAGCAGGCGAGAGAGGTGTGTCAGGATCGTGCCAAATGGAAATCTGTAGTCTCTGCCTACCCCTCTGGGTGACAGGCGTGAGTGTTTATGGTATGGTATGGTATATGAAAATTTTGTCGTCATCTTGGGAAAGTTCTTGGGTCACAACAAAAAGTTTGTATTATTGTTGTGACCCAAGAACAATTAATATTATTTTCGATATATGGATGACGCCAGTAACGTTTTCATTTTTTACGTAGATGACAAACATAACAGCACGCCAAAATATCGTCATCACTCGAATACGACACCTTCGGTAATGCAAGAGTTTATACCGATAAGTGAGTAGCTAAAGGCTACGCGGTATTGTTTCGGTGCAGACCTTAAAGATCCCGCACCGACAAATCGGAAAACGGACTAAATCATTTTACCAGTAAAATCTAAGTTTACGATAACCGACTTTTTGCGCGGGAGCCTTGGTATGGATATGTCCGTGTATCTACTGTTTACGAAATAGTCTACATAACTGCTTGGTTGCGTAAAATCGCAGTTTAATGCTGCTGTGTACCTATCGTATAGACTCTTTTCACTGGTAGCGGTCTTAGTCTTTAGGGTAATCTTTTTCAGGAATTAAAATACGAGTACAACTGCATTGCTTAAGATAGATGCAGTGTCTATGAGGTCTACCTTCAAGTGGACTGTGTGATCATTTGTCACCTTTATTCTAAATAATATAAAACGGGATCAGTGAAACATTTATTTCCAGAAAGTTTAATGTGTAATGATAAGATTGAAAAGACTGTTACTAAGTTTAATCATGGCATATTACCATATACTGTAACATCACAACTTAGCATCAAGAGGGATAGTTATAAACTCCCGAAAAAATGCAAAAAGAAACAAGAACATGAGTAAACCTCCAAATATCTTCTAATTATAATATTTTATTATTCTTTACACCAAATAATTTGTTAAATGTGTATTAAAAAAGATAAAAGTCATTTTTTCCATTGATATTCACGACATGTAGCAAGATCCGTGCATTTTGATTTTACCGTAGATTTTTCGGTAGCATTTGTTACTTGTGTTACTTTTGGAGCAACTGTACTCGTGGTTGGTGCCGGTTCAATAACTTTCGTTTCATCAAACTTTTCCAGCTTAAGTTTATTCACATTTTCTGTTACAGAATTACAAGGAGTAGCATAATCAATAGTACTTTGCAATCGAGTTTTACAACAAAACTTCTTTTTTTGACTTCCTGTAGACCCAGTTTTGTTGGCAGATTTTGCGGTTGATATTTCAAATTGACCCTTAATGCGGTCCAATAAAGTTGTAGTTTGTGGTCCACTTATATTTTTCATTGCACGGAGTCGCTGGTTCAGCGGTAACGTCTCTGTAAACATTTCCTGAAGTAAAATAGTCGTTATGATTATCATTTTCAATTTAGATTCGATCATTTCCAAAATGTTTCCTTTTGAATTAATGTTATGATACATATCGAATCGCTTACTTTGCTGTTAAAACATTTCAATAATATTCTTTGTTTACACTCACGGTTCTGGCTAACCGTCATGCTATGATAATCTTATTAGCTAGTTATCGGCTTAAAATTTTATAGCTAAAAACTGTTAACCTGAGTGCAGAACGTATGAAATAGAAATAGAAACAGCAAATTTTGCATTCAATATAGATTACAAACAATATTTATAGAATTTAAAATAATTTTGTTTTGTTATAAAACAGTTATTTTACATAGTAACTTTATGATTTAGGATTGCTCTAAAATATAAGATTCATAAAATTTCTTGTTAATTAATTAGGACGTGAGTACTCGGGTTAAAATAAAATCGTTTTTACCTTGACTTTCACACGCTTTTCCCGAGCATTTATCCTTTCTAATAAGACTGTCTTATAACTACTCACGAGAGTTACTAAGATTAACTAATTCTTAATAACTCACGTGATTAGTAACAAACGTTATGAATTAATTTGTTGGCCAGAGAACGATTTAAAAAAATAATCTAACACTCTTATTACCTCTTTGAAACATTTGAACATTTAGACTGTGTATTAAATTTAGGCGTCTAGTGGCGGCGTAAAATAATCTTTAGACCAAGTTTTAACCACTGCTAATTTACAAAAATTAGTAATATTAAAAAAATACAACCGACTTTAATATAAATAAAATGAGAACATCATCAATGTAGTCGAAGTCAATTAAATACGCATTATTAAGAATAACTCAAAAACTACTGGTCAGATCTTGATCAAATTTATAATATGGAACCACCCGAGAATCATCAGTTTTCAAATAAGAAAGGATTAAAAAACCAAAAAAGTATCATCAAAATCGGTTCACCTACAAAAAAGTTCTGGGTTAACACACTTAAAAATCTTTTTGAAGTTTTAGGAAAGATAAGGTTTATATATAAGATTAGGAAAACAAGTATGAAAATAACTCATGGTATTTATATATTCGCTACCACGCCATTTCTAGTAAGTTTTATACAATAAATTGTAAAACAATAAATGAGAATTGAATTTGTTTAACAACCCCGTTAAGTTTCTTGTTAGTTATTTCCACAGGAAGTGTGTATTGTGTAATTGTAAATTATTTATAGTTTTGATACTTCCCGGTACCACCCCGTGGGTGTTCAGGGACAAATATAGGGAAATGAAAGAAAAAATTGACTTTTGATAAAATTTTATACGTGTTGGAGCCGTACTGAACTATATTATGGTTGCACAAATGATTGAGCTCGACCATGGAAAAACCACCCACAGAATACCAGCGTAAAATAACTGTTTAACGCTGCTGTGTTTCGTATGGTGAGTAGAGTGAACCTGAGAACCTTTTCAGTACAAACTAGACATTCCATCTTAGTTCACAGGGGTGACTAGGTATCTTTATTTGATTCTTAATTGAGGATAGATTTAGATGTCGATGGATCATAGTACAGTATTTGTTCGTATCTTAAACGGTAATACGTTTATTTTTCGTTTTTGTTTTACTGCATATAAAACAGAGTTTGAAGCAGAGTTTTTTAAATATACAAATAATACTTCAAAATCATCAAGTATCGACCTATGAATTCTCCATTTTAATTATAGCACCATAATAATAAAACATGTTTTTAAATTAGAATCCATAAACTTTGTATAGACTCGTAATTCCGTGATTTTCACTGTACAAATTTGTACAAAACTTCACAATGTTATTGTAATTCATTTGCTTAAATGACCGTTCCTTGAAGCCCAACCACCGGTACATATTAAGTCTTCGTTAAATGTCTAACGCGCAGATTTTTATAGAAACAGTATTTATACGTAAGTACCTCGTAGCTTTTACGGCCCTTACGAAAAACGCAACGTTCCTTATTAATACTCTTACTAATAGGCCTTAAATGTTACGTACGGACGAAAATGTATTTAATAATTTTATTAGTTATGTTTGTATTTGCCGGTAGCGTTATAATTTTAATGGAAAATAGGTTGTCTAACACCGAATATTAGCTACGGTGACAACATTACAATTGTTATTTGAGAATGGTTTTTTAATCCTAGGCTAAATATGGAAATCATCATTATATACTTTATATTTGCTTCTAGCAAAAAATATTAACAATGAGTAGTCAGACGTTTATTCAATTTGTAGTACGTAAACTTGGATATTAAACTCTATTTCTCTTTCATCATCGGGCAAACAGAGTCTCAGCCAGTCGTTACCATTTCGTTGTCAACTTACCAGGCAATTAAACCAAATGTTTTTTTATCGTTTGTAACGGGTACAGAAAATGAGTGGTATAAGTTGATAGTATTTGTCTTTCTATAGAAAGAAGAGGTTCATACCAAGTCAATATACAACATTGAACAATATGCAACGGATCTGTAGGAAAGCTTGTTGTATTTTAGTGCAGGGGCTACAGTATCACATACCATAACAATACCATCAGGTGACTGTTAGTTTGTTTGTCACTTCAGAAGGCGCGTTGTCAACGCTGAGGACAGAGGTGCAACATCGCTACACTACCATAGTAGCTTTCATAGAGGGAATATATACCATAGATACCACGCCTCCACTATATGGAGTGACAAAGTGATGAAACACGCAGGCAGTTCACGTAATAGTAAGTGAATATCAGGACTCTACTTGGTAGCAATCTATGGGGGAGGCCTGTGGTCTGCAGTGGACTTTTAATTCACTGCAGTACACATAGGCTGTACTGGTTGAAGGAGTAGTAGAATACTAAGGACACATATTGATCTGGCATCGACTTTCAGACTTCATATTGTTTAGCTACTCAAATTAATATTAGTTTATGCAATTAATACAGTAATTACTTAAAAACTACAGTTTGACACTGGACGATTTGGTTTCATCCAGAGTCCAGATCAAAGAAAACAGTCACGTTTTCTAGTTAGACCGGGCGAATGTCAGCTATTGAATTTTCCTGTAAAGAAATTTAGTAGCTTGGAGTATCCCTGTTGGGTGGCGTTTACCATTCTGCCTCGGAAAGCATATTAAGGCGTTTGTCCCGTGTCTAATTTATCTTCGTTCTTGTCGAATTGCCGTCAACTTGGACTATGAGAGTCAGGTAGTGCACCTGTGCTTGCACATTCCACTGTATTCTATAATTATGTATTGCGTAGATGACGAGTCTCCGTTCAGGCTGGCCGCCATGACCGAGATTTGGTCCAGAGGATACTATTCTAAATTTCTGTTTTTTATAGATTAAGAGTGACAAACGAGCATTCAGTCCACCTGATGGTAAATGAATAATGTGAACCATAGACATCTTTATCAATCCTTCATGAATAATGAAAATGCAGATGCTTTGTCATCTCTGAGGACAAACAAAAGAATGCCTCGTTCCCACTAAAAATATCTCCGATTCTCTACGCTCACCATACGAAACCCAGAAGCGTTAAGCTGTCATTTCATGATGATATTCGGTGAAAGCGTTGTCCTTCCCCGGTCAAGATGGCCCATTGGTGCTACAACCATAATATAGCTGAGCGTGGCTCTACCACGCATCAAATAAAAAAAAGATCATAATAATAAACTTTATTAGCATAATTCATAAATAAAATATGTCGTGTAAATAATTTGAAAATACATTTATTTTTGACCAATTCAGTATAATTGAATTGGAGATAGACATAACATTCTCGCGAGATAATTGTTTCCGCTTCCTTGTTTACTCAGCTGCATCAATCTCTCAGCTCCCATCTAGCTTGCCAATCGCGTAAAGAAATCTAAGAACTGTAGAGCTAATATTGATAGAAAATATATGTTAATAAAGAACGTAAGTGTATGTAAAAATGTGAAATGTAAATGAAATACAAACCGTGATTGTAATGCATATTACTATATGCTAGAACTTCTTTATGTCTAGACATTTTATTTTTATTTTGCTTACCATTGATTACCAAAGGTATAATAATATATGTTGCAACTATGGTTAAATCCCCATGAGGCAATTTATGGGTAAGGGTGGATTAAAGGATTCATATAATTACTAATTATTGCTAACATGGCAGAGTCACACTGAAACTTAACTATAGCAAGATTATTTGGAATAGATCAAGAATCCCACAAAATACCTGCGTAATATAGCAGTTTAATGATGTTCTGTTTGTGACAAGGCATTCAACCTTAATGATCAGAGGTATAATAGTATTTGAATTTTGTAACTCAATCAAGTTTCAGGTGTCACAGTCGGATAGACAAACAAGCATAAAGCTTTTGCTAGGGTTGCTTGGAGCTTATCACATACAGATTCAATTTAAACAGTCTATTTCATACGGTCATCGATTATTAAACTCAAATACATACATTTTTCTACCACTTCAATCTGGGGACATTCAAAGTTGTTATTTTCGGTTAAACTCTGTATAATATGAAGACATGTTTGATTATGTTTCAATATATTTTGACTCAAGCTAACGTACATCATTTTAGTGTTAATCTAATTAATTACATGACCTGCGTCTTGTGACCACTGTATGAGCCTCGTAAAGTCCTCCTGTAACAGTTTAAACGCCTTATCAATATTGTGGTAGGCTATTATCAGACAGGTGTCGTCGGAAAATTCGAATAAACAAAGCTTTACATTCAAATCTTGCGAGGTTTTGTAAACATAGAGCGAGCCCACATTACAAATATCTCTTCAGATTAGGGTTGCCAGATGGTCGAGATTCGTCTGGATTCTCCCAACATTTAAAATAATTGAGTTGAATCTACCTAAATTCAAACTTAGTATGAATTTGGGTAGATTCACCTCTATCTTCTAAGCAGAACTTTTGCCATATTTCATTGTGTGGAAAGCAACCTGCATAAAACAACGTCAAACATATAATCTATATAAACTCTGACTGCCTAGCAGCAATGCTAGCGCTGATATCAAATTTAGTGAACAAGAAACTACTTGGAAAC